CCACTTCAGAGTGTATGAAATGTCAATAGTATTATCTATTACTTTTGGCAGAAGATAATTTGCTTAAGATCTAATGTAGCCGGGTGTGGTGGTGCACACCTGTACTCTCAGCACTCGGGAGACTTAGGCTGGAGGATCTGTGTGAGTCCAAGAGCAGCCTGGTAAGGGCTGGCCTCATAGCTCGGCAGACTGAAGTGCCTGCTTAGGCAGAGTGCAGTGGCCACAGTGTGATCTCCGGCCTGCCCGACCAGCCCCATCCGCAGGGCACACTGAGACAGCGATCAAGACTGGGCATGGTGACATGTGCCTATAATCCCAGCGCTTGGGAAGCTGAAAACAGGAGAATCACTATGAGTCTGATCTATGTAGTGAGACCCTGTAGACCCTGTGCTAAATACAGAAAAAGAAAAGAAAAGAAAAAGACCAGCCTAGGCCACAAAGTGAGTTCAAGACCAGCCTGAACTGCATAGTGAGACCCTATCTCAAAAATACAAAAAACAAAAATTAAACACAGACCTAATAAAATATAACTAGTCTGATTATGTTGTCCAATTCCCCATAATCCATCTTGTCCTAAGAATGGTTGATTTTGATTCTTTTTCCTTTCTAGAGGAAGCTCTTTACAGACACCCATAGTTGATTCAGAGTTATCTTCTATATCCCTTATAACCCAGAACTGCTGACCAGGTACCTCCATGGTCTATGAGGTAATTTTTGTATATATTCATATGACACAGCTTTTCTATCTTTTATTTATTTATTTATTTATTTATTTATTTATTTATTTTTGCGACAGGGTCTAGCCATACAGTTCCGGCTGGCCTTGAACTGGCTTTGTAGCCCAGGCTGGTCTCAAACTCATGGTGATCCTTCTGCTTCAGCTTCCTAAGTGCTGGGTTTACAAGCATGTATCGCCACTTCTAGCTAGCTTTTCTATCTTGTGAGATAATATATTTATAATGTATTGTTTTGCAATGTAGAGCTACATGTATTTGAAAATACTTGATAATTTTGTTTGGGTCAGAATATTGTGGAGGGAGCTGGTAGCCATAACCTTTGATTTTGAATGAGAAAGTTTCTGGATATTCGAAGCTTTTCTATCTGTGGTAGAGGCCGTTGCCAGTTGTCAGGCGTTCTCCCTCTGACGGAGAGGCATAATCTGAAAAGCTTGTTATTCTTTCACTTAGTTTTGCTAAATAACTACCTCTTCATTTTGTAATTACTTATGTGCAGTGTCTTGCTCATCTTAGAGAAATAAGTTGTTCCAATTTGAACTTTATTTCTTCTCTCCTATGCTCTGCCTTTTTCTCTGGTTGGAGTGATTCTCCAGCAGGCTTAGTAATCACTTTTTCAGCTGTTTCACTCTCTTCTTCCATAGCTCATTGCAACGCTCTGACTGTTTCCTATCTTAAAGGAATGCAAAATACACCGATGTTTCACCCGAAAGCTGCTGCATCTCATGTACTTGGTAAATCCGCAATGTGAGCCAAGGCATTAACTCCCAACAGGCTCTGTGTAAGAGCGCGCTTCAGAGAAAGCACCCGCACAAGACTGCAAGGGAGCCAGAGACCACAGGCTGACTGCATAGACCTCTGGGATTCCTTTTTACATTCCTGATGAGTGTTGTGCTAAATATATAGATGTAGCTTGTTCTATGATACTCTTAACAATGTATTTTGCTGAGCAAATGTTTTAATTTCAATGAAATCCACTTTATCAATTTTTCTTTTATCGGTCATACTTTTGGTGCTATGTCTAAGAATTCATCACTAGGTTCTAGATCCCAAAGATTTCCTCCTGCTGTCTTCTAAAAGTTGGATAGCTTTATGTTTTACATTTGAATGTGGGATTCGAGTTAATTTTTCTATGAAGTGTGAGGTTTAGATTGAGATTTTTATTTCAGTTTTGTTTGTTTTGTTTTAGTCTATATCAATGTTTAATTACTCCAGTATATGTGTTGAAAAACTACCCCTCCTCCACTGAATTGCTTTTGCACCTGTGTCGAAAAGAGCTGGACAAATTTTTTAAGAGTTGTCTAGAGGCCGGGGAGATAGCTCAGTAGAATAAGCACTTGCCTGGCAACAAGCCAGGTACCGAAAAAAAAAAAAGAGTTGTCTATTTCTGGGTTTGCAGTTTTATCCCACTTAATTACAGATCTGTCTCTGTCAATACCACACAACTTTCATTACTATAGCTTTATCAAAAGCTTTGAAATTGTATAAAGAGACAGTCTTGTATCTTATAAGTTGGCAAAAACTCATTTATTGGTTATGGGGGTTATGTTTACAAATTCATTGAGACTTTTTTTGTTTTTTGGTGGTACTGGGAATTGAACTTAGGATCTTGTGCTTGCCAGCCAGGCACTTGTTCTACTTAGCTATCTCCCCAGCCCCTCATGGAGACATTTGATGAAGACAATGATGTAATCTGGGACCAGGAATACAGCTCAGTGGCACAGTGGCTGCCTGGCAAATGCAAGGTTCTGAGTTTGATTCCTGGTTGAAAAAGTATACTTAATCTGCACGTTGAGACTATTTTTTTCTTTCTAATATATACACGACTTTTACTTGTTTTTCTTACATTGTATTGGTCAAAATTTCTAGTACTATGTCAAATTGAGGGTGGAGAGAGTGGATATCCTTACCCTGTTCCTAATGTTCATAAGACAGTGTCCATTTTATTATTGTTAAGTATATAGGTCTTCTACAGATGATGTTCGACAGAAGTTGAGCAAGTGCCCTCTCCTTTTGTGGTTTACTGAGAGTTTTCTTCATGATTGGTTATTAGATTCTATTAAATGCTTGTATGCATGAAATGTGATAATCATATTAGCTCTTCTTTTGCTCATCAATATAACAAATTACACCAATTGTTTTTCAAATATTGAATGAGCTTTACACCTCTGGATTAAACCCTGTTTGGCCACTGTTACAATTTCTAAATGCATTTTAAAATTTTATTCACTAGTAGTGTTTTTGGGGGAGTATCTTTTTGGAGACAGGGTCCCCTGTGCAGCTCAAACCAGCCTTGAGCTCACTTTGCAGCCATGCTGGTCTTGCATTCCCCATGATCCTCTTGCCTCGGCCTCCTGAGTGCTGGGATTACAGGCATGTAACACCACACCCGGTCTTTTCACTAGTGCTTTGCCAAAGGTTTTTATGTCTATATTCATCAAGTATACTGTTCTGTAGTTTTTCATTTCTCTTTTGAAAACTGTCTTTTTCTGGTTTTGGCACCCGAGTAGTACTGGCTTCATTGAATGGGCTGAGAAATATTTGATTTGGACTGAGAAGATAATGTCATGTGATTCCGATTATAATAGTGGATATGATGTCAGGATTTTCTCACAGCATTTGAGAAGTAGTATCATTGACAGCAACAAAGCACAATGTCATACTTGAAATGGAAATTAGGTGGCTTTCACTTTGAGACAAACACATTTTAGATGTCTATACAGGAAAAAGAGAGCTGTCTTATTTGAACTTATACCACAACATTCTGGGCCTCTTTTTTTTGTGTGTATGTGCGGGGGAACTATTTGAGACAGATTCTCACTGTGCAGTTCAGGCTGGCCTTCAACTCAAGTTGCAGCCCAGGCTGGTCTTGAACCTGAGAAGATCCTGCTGCCTCAGCCTCCCGAGTGCTGGGATTACTGGTGTGCGCCTGTAAACTCCAGGCTTTTTAACTCACATGCTTCCTAGATTTATTAGAACAAGAGTCGGGTGGGACATGGCCTTCACACATGTATAGCTATCTGTCCATATACATCCAAGAACCAGAATTTTTTCAAATTTCTTGTGAAAGAAAATTGTCCAAGTCCACGTTTTCAACTTCCCTTTTCCCATTTGCCTCTCATGACATAGCTGGAAGAGAAACTGTTCTGTAACAGTGAGCATGTCCTTCCAGCTACAAGATTCACAGTACTGAGTTAACCGCCAAATGACCCCCCCCCTTTTCTGGCGGTGCTGCTGATGGAGCCCGCCTTGTGCATGCTTGACAGATAAAGAGCCCATGGGGCAGCATGTGCCAGTACTGCCAAGTGCAGGCAGGACCAGTGAGGCCCCAGCGTCCCTCTGAATAAACTTTTGAGCAGAACCTTCTGAGCAGCCGAGGTCCTGGCTGGAAAGTGCAGCGAGGGCAGCATAAGAAGGAAGTTGTCAATATGGCTTCTGGCGTCGTGCCCCCCAGAGGTGGGGAGTGCAGCTGGCCTGGCTCTCCCTCTTTCTTTCTCTCCGCACTTTCCTCTGTGGCTCCATCCCTCACACTCGGTGCGCTATTTGCACGGATCTACTGAGGACGTGCTTGTGAAGTGCTTGGGTCAATACTTGGACAAGTGTTAGTTCGGCACCGAGGAAGTCCCTACAGAAGCTTGGTACTTGCCATTGTTGTCATCGTTGCCACGCAGCCTGGCAAGTTCACTCTCCGAGAATCTCTTTTCAGACCTTGGAATTAAAGAGGCCGCAATAACAGTACCTTCTGAGTTTGGGTCGCGCGCGGGCTGTGGGACCCCGGAGCCACTGGCGTACACAGGCCCCTGGGGAGCGGCCATCGAGAGGCACGGGGACGTGGAAGGGCCCCCTTACTTTTATCTCTCCCTTGCTGTCTATGCAGAGCGGGTCAAGGCTGTAGTTCTGGTGCTGGAGGGGCAGGGCGAGCCTTTGTGGATGTGGCTAGCCTGGGGAGGGAGGCAGACAGCAGGTTACTCGCGGTATTTCCTACTGGATCGCGGAGCGCCTTCTCTGCGCCCTTGATGTCCGCGGCTCCGCGCGGTCGTCTGCCCGGTCGTCCGCCGGGAGCGAGGCGTTGCCGTTGGGGGCTGAGCGGCGGCTTGGGTCCCGCCCCCTCCCTGACCTCCCGGGGGTCGCGGGCGAGACTCGGCTGGGGCGGCGCTGGGAGGGCGGCGCTGGGCCCGCCCCGCCGCATCCCTGGCTCCACTTCCTCCTGCCGCGGCGGGCGGGCCGGCGGGCTACCCGGCTGGAGGAAGCGGCGCTGCAGCCACGATGAGCGCGGGCGACGCCGTGTGCACCGGCTGGCTGGTCAAGTCGCCCCCCGAGAGGAAGCTGCAGCGCTACGTAAGTAGGGGGGCCGCTATCCCCCGGCCTTCGCAGCCCGGCTCCCCGCCCGCCGGGAAATCGCTGCAGGCGAGGCGGGTGCCAGGAAGGCGAGGTCGCACGTCGAACTTGCGTCCCCGCTGTGCCCGGCCGCGGGCGGGAGCCGGGTGGCCCTGCGTGCCGCTGAGTCCTGCAAACGGGGTGGGTCGGGGCGGGGCGGTGGCCGGGGAGACCTTCGCAAGGGCCCCCTTGCCCAGCGAGAGAATGGACAGGGACAGGGGACGCGAACCCCAAGAACAGGGCCTCCTGGAACAGGAGGCAGTGGAGCGCCGCCTTCCCCTTGCCCGGGAGGAGCGCTGGCTAGCTCGGGTCGCTCGTCGCAGGTCCCCTAGGCGGCCTTCCCAAGCGCGAACTTCTTCCTATCTTGTCTCTTCTCAGCTTTTGCTTTCTGCTGAAACTGCGTTTTTCTAGTCCAGCAGGAGCCACTGACTTTAAGTATTATGAAACAAGGGACGTTCAGAAGAACACATCTTGCCATCTTCCTAACAATATTTAAATATGCCACCAGTGGCTCACATGCTCATTACCTCCCTGAGTCCACTCGGGACAGGGTCTTACAAACGTTTAGCCTGAAGACCTACTAGCTAGCTATTGAGCATTCTTCAGCCATTAGAAGAACCACTTCAGTCCCCAGGGAGCAGACAGAAATAGACATTACAGAGACGGGCTTATTTTTTTTTTTTGAGGGGGGTGCTGGGAGTAGCTTGATGGATCCATGTTATTTATAAGTCCTAATTTCCCTGCTACTCCACAGCACGGTGGAGGGAAGAAACCCTGCAGGGGCTCCTCTGTGGCCAGGCACCCCAACAGCTGCTCTACCTGGTGCTCCTGTGGCCCCCTCAAACTGCTGTCCCTGCTCTGACCAGATTTCACCAGTCCTTTTTGTTCCCACATTTCAGAACACGTGCGGTGGCAAAAGTTGAAGAGCCAGAATTATAAGGTTTTGTTTTATTTTATTATTTTTTTGTGGTGGTACCAGGGATCAAACTGAGGACCTTGTGCTTGCCAGGCAAGCACTTATTCCACTGAGCTATCTCCCTGGCCCGTAAGATTTTAGTAGTGGGTGAACACTTGTAGAATTTGCAACAGGGTCTTTTCCTGACTGTATAATTGTTCAGGCCCTCTTTTCCCTTATCTGTACTGCACACTGCTCAGCAGTGTAAAGGATTTTGTTGTTTACACTGCTGAGCAGCCTTTCAGAAGAATGTTGTTGTACTTAGTATGTAAGATATAAGCAAAATCACCATGCACTTTCAGACTGACCCTTGTTTTCCAGTAGATGATTCCGAAAGATAGTCAAAGTGGAGAAGAAGATTTATGGGAACATTTTTCCCAGCCTTGGGCTTATACCTTGTTCTGAGCACGCTGGCTTTGGAAGATTCTTTAGTGTTTTGTAATTGGGGGCAGGGGTGGGCACGGATACTTGTTGTCACATGTAGGTCATTCTTTTTGAGTGGAAAGAGGCTAGGGCAAGAGCACATGGCACGTAGCTTTGAGATGTCGGGTGTGTGGTGTGAGAATCCTGAAGACGCAACAGATCTGGATGTTATTTTGCCAACATTCCGTGACAGACCTTGACCTTGTAGTCTGTGGCTGGCAACTATTTCTCAGGAAGATCGTGGTCTCCCCCCCTCCCACCCCGCGAACCCCCCCTCCCCGCCCCCTTGAAGTGCCTGTCCACCTAAGGCACCTCAAAAGTCCATTTCCTACGGACTATAGCAAGCCGGCTGCCGCTAGGTGGCGATCGTGTGTCACTTCGACGGGGCCTGGGCCAAGGCTGTTGTTCAGAGCGCCATTAATTTAGCTGCGGTGGCAAGTAGTTTCCCCTTCCATCACTTTGAGTGTCAGCGGTAAACTAGGCCCAAGTTTCTTGCTGGGAAGACAGAAGAGAAAGACTCGATTGCATCTCGGAAGAAGCACAGTTAACACGCTTAAGCAGTAACGTAGCCATGCTAGTTAGTGGCGCCACTTAGGAGGATGACTGAGTTCTCAGTTGCTCTTGGTGGCCAAGGCCAGCGGGCCACACCATCTTTCCTTCATGCGCGAGGCATGGCGATCAGAGAGTTATTTTCTATTGCTGCTCTTTTGAAAGGTAGTCAGTGCTTTCTCTAGTAGTTTTGTAATACAACATTTATTTTTATTGTAAAAATTTAAAAATATAGGAACAAATAGAACGTGAAGTGCAAGGCCCCTTCTCTTCTCCCCTCTCCAGGGTTAGCGGCTGTTACAGATCGTTCTATTATTATTATTTTATTTTTTTGGCAGAACTGAGGATTGAACTCAGGCCCTTGCACTTGCCAGGGAAGTGCTTATTCCACTGAGCCATCTCCCAGGCCCAAAGAGGGCATTTTTTTTTAAATTTTTTATTTTATTTTATTTTTTTTTGCGGAACCGGGGATTGAACTCATGATCTTGCGCTTGCCAAGGAATCGCTTATTCTACTGAGCCATCTCCTCGGCCCCCTACAGATGGTTCTAGAGAAACGTACAGAAAATACATATTTGTTCACACACAAATAGGATCATATTATACTAATTGTCTTGCAGTCTGTTTTTCCTACAACAATCCTGGAGATCTCTCCAGGTTAGTAAGTACAACCTTATTTTTTTAAAGCCATTGTCTAATGTTTCTTGTAACATATGCACCATAATTTAATAACTTCTCTCTTGAGCATTTGGCTTCTTTTCTTTGATTTTAAAGAATGTTTTAATAATAGTGATCATAAAGTTATGAAATAGCTCACATTTATTGACTGTTCACATGTACCAGACACTATGCTAAAGATTTCGCTTGTACTAACTCTCTTGTCTTCAAAACAGCACGGAGAGCCAGGTATTGTTTTTGTCTCTGGATACAAGTTCCTGGTTGGATTAAGGTTTCTACCAGTTTACACTTTGCCTTTTCCTTGTTTGTACAGTATCTTTTGTTAATCTGCATTTTTGTGAAATCCAAAACACCAGGTTTTGTGTCTTATGGATTATTCTTTCAATGTCAAATCTAAGAACTCTTCATCCAACATAAGACTGTCAAGATTTTCTCCTGTTTCTTTTTCCCCTAAAAGTTCTGCAATTTTACAGTGAGTATTTAGATCTGTGGTCCATTTTGATTCCATTTTGTAAAAGTTATGAGGTTTATGTCATGGTCCATTTCCCTCCACATAAACTCCATCTGTTCTAATGTCATGTATTGCATGAGCTGTCCTTATTCTACTGATTTATTTTTGTAACCTTGTTAAAAAAATCAATTTGCCGTGTTCCTGTAGGTGCATGTGGAGTCTCTAGCCTGTTCTCTTGACCTGTTTATTCATCTATGCCAATACCATGCTGTTTGATGACCATAGGTTTATAATAATCTTGAAATCAGATAGTTTCAGTTTTCCACATTTTTCTTTTTCATAGTGATCTGGCTGCTTTCAGCCTCCCCATCACTGGGATTTCAGGCATGTACCACCATTCCTGGTCTTGGTGGGGACTCAGGGTACCTGGGTGCGGAGATGGCATGGCATGTGGTGCCAGGGATCAAATCCTGGTTTCTTTATTTGACTAAGCAAGTGCTTAGTCTGCTGAGCTATCTCACCAGCCCTTAGCTTTCTTATATTTTTTTAAAACATGAATTGGATTTTGTTAAACACTTTTCTAACATCTTTAAAAGTGATAATATGCTTTTTCTTTTTTAGTCTGTAGCAGTGGTGAATTATACTGATTCAATTTTGAACACTGAAGGCCAGGCATGGTGGTGAACATCTGTGATCCTTGCACTCAGGAAGCTGAGGCAAGAAGATTGCTGTGAGTTTGAGGCCAGCCTGGGCTACAAAGTGAGTTCAAGGCCAGCCTGAACTGCATATAGCGAAACTGTCTCAAAAAAATTTTTTTTGAATGTTGAATCACCTTTGAACTCCTCAGATACACTTCATTTTGTTGTGACATGTCATTGTTTCCATATACTGCACGATTTGTTCTGATCTTTGTGTTCCTGTTCATAGGATGTGAGTTTCGGTTTTATGCTTTTAACTTTGTCTGGTTTTGATGCTAGCATAATGCTGGCTTCCTGAAATGAAATAGGATGAGTCCCCTCAGCTTGTATTTACTGAAGAATACTGGGAATTTCATTTGTTAACTACACATTCTATTTCTTTAACAGTGCATGAATGCTCAGGTTGTCCATGCTTTCTTGACTGTGATTCAATAGTTTGTGTCTTTCAAGAGAATTTTCTATTTCAGCTGTGCTTTCAAATTTATTAACATTAATTTGTTCACCATATTCCCTTAATATCTTCTTCCTTATTAAAACTTACACTGCTGCCCCCTTTCATTTATGATATGGTTAATTTATGTCTTTGCCTTGTTCCTGATCAGTCTGGCTGAACTTCTGTCAGTGTTCTTCATATTTATAAGAACTAACCTCAGGTTTATTGTTTTCCACTTTTCTTCTGTTTTCATTAGTCTGTCCTCTTATCTTTCTGATTGCTTTGGGTTTAATTTTAACACTTTTTAAGTCTAGCTTCTTAAAGGAGAAACTGAAAATTACTGAAATGAGACTTTTCTCATATAAGTAAATTGAACACTACAGATGGCCCTCTGGGCGCTGCTTCAAGTGCACCCACAAAGCTGGCTATGTTGTATTTTCATTTTGATTCAAAATATTATTTAATTACTGCATGGGATTTCCTTTGTGACCTAAGCACTATATATAAGTTTTTATGTAGCTTCCAATATTGAGGAGTTTTCTAGGTGCCTTTCTATCAATACTTTCTAGTTAAATTCCCTTATGATATAAGAATAAGCTATGTTTTCTATTCTTTGAAATTTATTAGGTTTCCAGTATGGTCCACTGTACAGTTGCACCCGGTGAGGGTTACACTGGAAAACATGAGGCCTCTTTTGTTGAGAGTGTTCTATAAATGCTAATTAGACCAGATTGGCTGGCAGTGTTCAGCTTTGCCCTATTCTTACTGATTTTCT